GAAATTGGTTTTGGACATGCTGGCTTCAGGCATCATAAGGCCTAGCAGCAGTCCCTACGCCAGCCCGGTCCTGTTGGTTAAGAAAAAAGATGGCTCTTGGCGATTTTGCGTGGACTACCGAGCCTTAAACCAGCTCACAGTCCCGGATAAATTTCTGATTCCGATCATCGACGAGCTGTTGGATGAGCTACATGGAGCCACGGTTTTCTCCAAATTGGACTTGAAAGCCGGTTACCACCAGATACGTGTGCGGGAAGGCGACGTGAAAAAAACGGCGTTCCGCACTCACGAGGGGCATTACGAGTTTCTCGTTATGCCCTTTGGCCTCACAAACGTGCTGGCCACATTTCAATCGCTCATGAATTCGGTATTTCGCCCTTATCTACGGAAGTTTGTACTTGTTTTTTTTTATGACATATTAGTTTAGCAGGAATCCTTATTTGCAAACTTTAAGAAGTGTGTGTTCGGCTAGAAGAGAGTGGAATACCTAGGCCATGTCATCTCCGCTGAGGGTGTGTCTGCCGACCCATCCAAAGTCGAGGCCATCCTTTCATGGCCTACTCCTCGGAGCGTTAAGGAACTGCAGGGATTTTTGGGACTCACGGGCTACTATAGGCGATTTGTGAAGGGGTACGGTACCCTAGCCCGTCCCCTCACCAATTTGCTTAAAAAGGGGATTTTCCTTTGGACCAACTTGGAGGACGCAGCTTTCCTATAGTTGAAGACAGCAATGACCTAATTACCCGTTTTGGTCATGCCAGACTTTACTAAACCATTTGTGGTAGAGACGGATGGCTCTGGTATGGGGGTAGGAGCGGTCTTAATGCAGGAAGGCCGACCCCTGGCCTACTTTAGTCAGGAGCTATCGGCCACATCCCGGCTGTCGTCTGTATACGAGCGCGAGCTCCTGGCCATCGTGCTCGCTGTGCAGAAGTGGAGACATTACCTACTGGGGTGAAACTTTGTCATGCGTTCCGACCAACAAAGCCTAAGGTTTCTACTTGACCCGCGGATTCTTCCTCCAGAGCAACTTCGTTTAGTGGCCAAACTACTCAGATATGATTTTGAAGTTCAATATAAAAAGGGTACGGCAAACAGAGCCGCCGATGCCTTATCGAGACGAGGAACCGCAGCAGACGTCTCTCTGGCTGCCTTGTCTATTCCCCATCATTTTGACATCGAAGGCCTAAAAAAGGAGCAGCAGGCATACCAGTATTGCGGCCGGCTTATCTCTGCATTGCGAAATGATCAGCCCCTGCGCGAAGGATTTGGACTTCGCCAGGGCTTGCTCTACTTCCGGGACCGTGTCATTATTCCCCCCTCGTCGGTCTGGATCATGCGGGTGTTGCATGATTTCCACGAGTCGGTGGTGGGGGGGCACTCGGGGTTCTTGCGGACATACAAAAGGATAGCATCTGTTTTTTTTCTGGAAAGGGATGAAGAAGGCCATAAAAGAGTATGTGGACAAATGTGAGACGTGCCAACACTCAAAGACAGAAGCTTTGTCACCTGCAGGGTTGTTACAGCCGCTGCCTGTCCCAGCTCGGATTTGGGAGGATGTGTCGATGGACTTCATCGGCGGCCTCCCAAAATCACGGGGAATGGATACCATTTTAGTTGTTGTCTATCACTTATCCAAATATGCACATTTCAGCCCCTTGGCGCACCCATACACGGCTATCCAAGAGCTGGCCTGTTCATTCGCGAGATCGTCCGTTTACATGGTTTTCCCCGTTCCATCGTGAGTGACCGGGACTCCACCTTTATGAGTCATTTCTGGCGTGAGATGTTCAGGCTACAGGGCACACGGCTGCACCCGAGCACAGCCTATCATCCCCAAACGGATGGCCAGACGGAAGTTACAAATCGTTGTTTGGAAATGTACCTTCGATGCTTCGCCTGCGACAAACCGCGGCAATGGCTATCTTTTTTACCGTGGGCAGAGTATTGGTTTAATACAACGTATAACGCTTCCACCAAATACTCTCCTTTTCAGGTCGTGTACGGCCGCTCTCCTCCCCCCTGTATCGTTTTCCCGAGGGTTCAACGGTAGTTAATGAGGTTGAGGTTCAGCTCCAGCAGCGAAATCACATGCTGGACACCCTCAAGGAACACCTACTCTTAGCACAGCAACGCATGAAGCACTTTGCCGACCAACACCGTCGAGAGATCAGTTTCGCCCCGGGGGACTTGGTTTTACTCAAACTGCGGCCCTATGTCATGAAGTCTATGGCAAGGAAGCTCAACGAAAAACTGAGCCCACGTTTTTACGGGCCTTTCACGGTTTTGGCTAAGATTGGCCAGGTCGCATACCACCTTATATTGCCGGATAGCTCCAAGATCCACCCGGTCTTCCACGTCTCTCAGCTCAAGGCTTTTAAGGGACAACATTTCACTGGTTTGGCCCTACCAGAACAGTTGATTGATGAGCTTGAGCTCCTAGTCCAGCTGGCCTCAATCTTGGATTCTCGTACCGTGGCTGTTGGGGGACGTTAGGTACAAGAGGTGCTGGTGCAATGGAAGGGGTTACCACCGGCAGATGCAACTTGGGAGCCGTCAGTAACCGTTGCAGAACAGTTCCCGGACTTCGACCTTGGGGACAAGCTCGAGCTTGAGAAGGGGGGTAATGTTAGACCTCCAAGCCTCAGGTTTGTGTATGCCAGAAGAAGGAATGGGAATATGCAGGGGCAGAAGGGGGATTTAAGTAACATGGAGCCAAGGCAAGGGTAAGGGGCGAGTTGTTAGGATACGGTTATGGTTATGGGGCTGTGTGCCAGGGTAGGATTGGGAAGGAAGTTAGTTAGAGGGTGGAAATAAGTAGTCCTAGCGGGGGCTAAGGAGAGGGGATCGAGAATTAAGTGAGTGAGTCTGTGGAGGTTTGGAGGGGTCCTCGAATTCCCTTCTATCTTTTATTTCCGGCATTGTAATTGTTTTCCCTGTTATCATTTTCATCGTGATTCAATAAAAGGATCCAGGCCAATCTCCTGGTTAATTTCCAGATTCCTGTTATATTTCTTAGTATAATTGCTCTAAGGTGACAGTTCAACGGGAGTCCTAACAGGATAGCAGCCGTTTTTTTCTGGAAAGGGATGAAGAAGGCCATAAAAGTGTATGTAGACAAATGTGAGACGTGCCAACACTCAAAGACGGAAGCTTTGTCGCCTGCAGGGTTGTTACAGCCGCTGCCTGTCCCAGCTCGGATTTGGGAGGATGTGTCGATGGACTTCATCGGCGGCCTCCCAAAATCACGGGGAATGGATACCATTTCAGTTGTTGTCGATCGCTTATCCAAATATGCACATTTCAGCCCCTTGGCGCACCCATACACGGCTGTCCAGGTGGCTGGCCTGTTCATTCGCGAGATCGTCCGTTTACATGGTTTTCCCCGTTCCATCGTTAGTGACCGGGACTCCACCTTTATGAGTCATTTCTGGCGTGAGATGTTCAGGCTACAGGGCACACGGCTGCACCCGAGCACAGCCTATCATCCCCAAACGGATGGCCAGACGAAAGTTACAAATCGTTGTTTGGAAACGTACCTTTGATGCTTCGCCTGCGACAAACCGCGGCAATGGCTATCTTTTTTACCGTGGGCAGAGTATTGGTTTAATACAACGTATAACGCTTCCACCAAATACTCTCCTTTTCAGGTCATGTACGGCCGCTCTCCTCCCCCCTGTATCGTTTTCCCGAGGGTTCAACGGTAGTTAATGAGGTTGAGGTTCAGCTCCAGCAGCGAAATCACATGCTGGACACCCTCAAGGAACACCTACTCTTAGCACAGCAACGCATGAAGCACTTTGCCGACCAACACCGTCGAGAGATCAGTTTCGCCCCTGGGGACTTGGTTTTACTCAAACTGCGGCCCTATGTCATGAAGTCTATGGCAAGGAAGCTCAGAGAAAAATTGAGCCCACGTTTTTATGGGCCTTTCACGGTTTTGGCTAAGATTGGCCAGGTCGCATACCACCTTAAATTGGCGGACAGCTCCAAGATCCACCCGGTCTTCCACGTCTCTCAACTCAAGGCTTTTAAGGGACAACATTTCACTGGTTTGGCCCTACCGGAACAGTTGACTGATGAGCTTGAGCTCCTAGTCCAGCCGGCCTCAATCTTGGATTCTCGTACCGTGGCTGTTGGGGGACGTCAGGTACAAGAGGTGCTGGTGCAATGGAAGGGGTTACCACCGGCAGATGCAACTTGGGAGCCGTCAGTAACCGTTGCAAAACAGTTCCCGGACTTCGACCTTGGGGACAAGCTCGAGCTTGAGAAGGGGGGTAATGTTAGACCTCCAAGCCTCAGGTTTGTGTATGCCAGAAGAAGGAATAGGAATATGCAGGGGCAGAAGGGGGATTTAAGTAACATGGAGCCAAGGCAAGGGTAAGGGGCGAGTTGTTAGGATACGGTTATGGTTATGGGGCTGTGTGCCAGGGTAGGATTTAGGAAGGAAGTTAGTTAGGGGGTGGAAATAAGTAGTCCTAGCGGGGGCTAAGGAGAGGGTATCGAGAATTAAGTGAGAAATGAGTCTGTGGAGGTTTGGAGGGGTCCTCGAATTCCCTTCTATCTTTTATTTCCGGCATTGTAATTGTTTTTCCTGTTATCATTTTCATCGTTATTCAATAAAAGGATCCATGCCAATCTCCTGGTTAATTTCTAGATTCCTGTTATATTTCTTAGTATAATTGCTCTAAGGTGATAGTTCGACGGGAGTCCTAACAAAGTTATGGCTATCAAGCTTGGATAAGACTAATGAAATGCTTTATGCGCGAGTGACAAGGGTCCATATCTACATAGTACAAGCTTGTCAGTCGCACCATGCCTGGACACAGGCATCAAATAATTGTCCATAAATAAATTACTCAACTCGGTATTTCAAAGAAAGCAACTCTGCAGCTTGTATCCAAATACAGACAAACCAAGTTGGCCGCAAAAGACATTTTCCAATTTCTGCATGCTACATACATTCTCAATTTCCAAAGAAAACCTTAAAAAGGTTTTACCTTAACAAGACCCGGAGGCCCAATTGAAACAAGATCTTCAAGTGTCTCCACCTTGTCCAATGGTAATGAACTGTAAAGCTCATCAACGTCACTGAACTCGTCAAAATCCTCCTAAGGGAAAATTTGAAAACAAAACATTAGAATTCTAATACATGTTAGAAGATGAACTAAAAGTCTCCAGCCAAAAAAACATATGTCAAACCAAAACAGAAATACGACACGTTTTCCATGATAACTGTTGAAAGTTTACATCAAGTTTAATAAAAAATCACCAACAAACCTGGTTACGTTCAACATAGTCGTCCAAGAAGTCTTTAACATCATTGACCTGCTCAGGACTCAATTCATCATTATCTAAAAGCCTCAAGATCAGTTCTAACTTCATTATATGAGCCTTATGTCGAGCAATAGATGTCTCCAAATGCACCTGGCATCCATAAACCCGAGAAAAATAAATAAATAAATAAATAAATAATGACCACAAACAGGTCAGAAGTATGCAATCCATCGACCTTTTAAGATCTGATTTTCTATTAAGTTTTGTCAGTCTAATCAGTACCAGTCTAGGCGGTCTTGTTTTTCCTTTCTTAACCGATAGTCCCTCGAGCTCAGCTTCAAAGTTGTCAATCTGAGATTCCAACTCCCCAACCTACTTTAAGGAAATTAATTCATAAAAGAAAAGAAAGCCAAATTATTAATTCATGTTACTCAAGTAGATTATAAAGGAAATGTTATGACACAGGAATAATCACAACTGCCCAAAAAAAAAAAAAAAAAATCTTTCATGCTAACCACGTTGTTCAACCAATCCCTTGTCTCAGATTTAGCCTTCTCTTTCGGATCCTGTAAGAAAAATTATTAACAAATAAATGAGTAGAGGGATAATGAAGTATACACACACACACACACACACATAAAGAAGAAGTTCATAGATAGTGAGTGGTAAGGGACTACTACTGACAGTTTTAGGTTGTTGGCCCAAGCCTTCTTTAGAGAATGCCTTTGTTTTAGTCTCCTTTTCACATACTTTAAACCTTTCCATCTCGCGCTCGATGAGCTTCCGAGCATCGACCAGGGCCTGCTCATAAGAGGCACTAACCTACGTCAACAAACAAACAAACAACAAAACACAAACAAAACATACATTAATCAAACACCTTAATTAAAGAAGAATGTCACTAATACCTTAATATTATGCAATGCAATTAACTTGCCCCCAATCCATTCCATCCATTACAATTGTATGTATAAGTATAACCTCCAATCTATATCTAATTATCTATATCATATCCATATTCTATGTTTGTCAAATTGAAAGAAAACATGAAAGTAGAGTAGAGAGAGAGAACCGAACCTTCTTGTCCTTGATCTCGCTGGACTGAATCCAAGTCTTGATCTGATCGCGATATCGTTGAAGCTTCTTGATCTCCTTCTTCAAGTCGGCCTCGAATTTCTCCTTCTGATTCGCATTGTCCGTATCGTAAACCTAAAAAACCAACAAGAATACCAACATTAATAATTATAATGAAAAGAAAATTTGATTTTCCCAGAAACCAAACAGAAGAAAGAGAAAGCAACCTTTTTCCAGATGCTGTCGAAGACCTCGACGCCTTCTTGAACCTTCTTCAGAACCCTGTCTATCTCCCCCTGTAACTTTCTACTCGCCCCCATTTTTCTTCACAACACGAACAAACAACCAACCCAACAAACGTCTCTCTTTTTCTCCCTCTCTCTTGAATTAGGGCTATTTATATACATACATATATATATATATATATATAATAAATATTTTCCTTCGGTTTTTCTTTTTTTTAGTTGCCCTTGGGTTTTTCTTCAAGATAAGTATATATGAGTTGTTCTTTTGGAGTGTAATTTGAGTATAGTTTTTGAATTGAATTTAAGTTATAACTTAAGTTAAAGTTGTAACTTGAATAAAGTTGAGTAAAGTTGAATAAAGTTGAAACTTAAAAGAACGTGAACTTGAATAAAGTTGAAACTCGAGTTATCTTTTTTTGAGTTTTTTAGACAAAAGAACATGCCCATAATGATTTACATTGTTATAATTTATGTATTAATTATAAATTTGAGTTTAAAAAATACTCATAAATATAATGTTATTTATTATGTCAAATCTTTTATATAATTATATAATTATTATAATTATTATATTTTTTAATTATTTTAAAAATAAAAGTTTACCTTAACAATTTTTAAATCTTAATAATTATAAGAATAAGTAGATTTAGCATTTTAATAGCATTATATACTAGACTAAAAATGAAAATAACATACCATATTATATTTTTTTATGCTAAATTACAATTGACATTAACATTTACATTTGAGATGATCTTATGCCTTGAATTTTAGGGTCATTTTGATTTCCAAATTTTAAAAATTTTAAATTATTCAAACGTAACCTCTTTTATTATAATTTTTATTAAAATAAATAGAAAAAGAGAGTAATGCAGTTACGTGATCTTTATGTTTGAATTTTTGTTTAAAACAAACAGATAAAAGCTTTATTTTTTCACTTTTTTCCTTGTTGAGATTTTATATCCTTTTAATAATCACATGGTAATTAAAACTTAACACGCGGATTACTCCCTATGTGCATTGCACGTGGAGTTCAACTAGTAATAATAATAAGGATTAATTACAAAAATTCCCTATAAACTATGACCTTTGTAACACTTTACCTTCTGATCTTTAAAAAGTAACATCCGTTCCTTATGAAGAATAAAACGTTAACAAAAACGCTCCTTCTAGTATTTTTAATGGAAATGACACTTGTCACTCATATAATGGATGTTGTTAAATACTCTAGGGTAGCATGAACATAAAAGACTGAGGCAGCGAGTTGTGGAGAACCAAAGGAAAAAAAAATTACAATTAGCTCAAGAGAGAAAGTACACTGGAGGGGTGGCAATACAAAACACATGACACAACACAAATTCAGTACGAATATGAAGACATGATTAACATGAAATTAACTCGATTTATTAATTTTTCATTTAAAATAATATACAAATGTAGACAAAATTATTTGGATTAACTACAAAAATTACCCCTAAACTATACCCCTCGTAATACTTTACAAATGATCTTTAAAACATAACATTTGGTCTCCCTAAATAATGAAATTTTAATGAAAAACCACCGTCATTAGGCTTTTTAAACATAAGTTGACATTTAATTTTACTATGGGGTATTTTAGGAGCTCCATGGTTTAAAATTTAGTTTAAATTAAATTTAAACTTTTAATTATGATACATCCATTATTGATAGAATGTAATTTAAATATTTTATGTATCTTTTTTTGGTGAACTAAAAAATTTATAAGTTTTTTTTTTCAATATATAAATTAGTTGAAATTCAAATTAAATTTTAAACCATATAATTACTAAAATAACCTTAACAGAGTAAATTAGATGTCAATTTCGATTAAAAACCTAACAGATGGGGCTTTTTTGTTAACATTTCATTATTCAAGAGAAACATTGGGGGTTCGCGATTTAGGGTTTGGGGTTCACGATTTGGGGTTTGGGGTTTTACAGTTTAGGGTATGGGGTACGGGGTTTAGGGTTCGGGGCTCGGGGTCTGGGTTTAGGGTTTGGGGTTTGGAATTCAGGCATCGGTGTTCGGGGCCTGGGTTTAGACTTTAAGGGTTTAAGGGTTAAGGGTTTGGGGTTTCATTGTTTAGGGTTTTAAGTTTGAGGTTCGAAGTTTGCAGTTCGGGGTTAGGGGCTAGGGGTCTGGATTTAGGGTTTTAGGTTTAGGGTTTTAGGGTTTAGGGTTTAGGGTTTGGGGTTTGGGGTTTGGGGTTTGGGGTTTGGGGTTTGGGGTTTGGGGTTTGGGGTTTGGGGTTTGGGGTTTGGGGTTT